GAAATTAAATTCGCGGTTTCTCGACCGCGTTTCCTGCCCGTCGCACGCGCCAACAATCGTAATAATTTATTCATTTGCCGTACCAAGATGATTAATTATGAATGTTTCACAATTCTCCGGAAAGATGCATTCCGAGGTCGAGCTTGAGTGCTCAACAAGAAGCTCGCAGGAAATGTCCTGCGTTGTTATCGATATTATTAATTGTCCCGAGTACGCGCGCAGAGTACGCCGAGAGTAAATCGATTGATTCAATGCCGCGGGATTCAAATCGATCGGGGTAAGACCGACACTGTCGGTGCTAAAAATAAGAGATTTGACTGATTGATTGTTAAAATCTCATTCTCACTTATTACATACATTGACGCAATTGGAAACAAACAAGGCTTTGCGCTTTATTGCACGAATCGTCCAATTGTCCCATGCTTATATTTTGCTTTTACGTCTCATGTGCCCCTGGATGCTCCTTCATCTGTCGCTAAACATATATATATATATATATATATATCTGAATAAACATATAAATATATATACATATTTTTTTCTCCATATTTTTCTCGAATTTAAATGAATCAAAAGAATATCATGAAATAAGAAATTTCACATTCTACAAAACACTGAAATTTATACGTGCGTGTCAAAATAATTGTTTTATATTCAAACGTTCGACAAATTGTTGCTGCATATTTCTACACATAAAATAAAAGTCGCAAGATTAAGACGATATTCGGTTTCGGAGAGATGTAAAAAATGATTCAAGAAGCAGCAGAGGTAACAGGGGTTCGGGGATAGCGCTCTCCATCGAAGATGCAGATCCTTCGAGATCTTCCGCCGACTCGCGAATGTGAAGCTTGTCCCTCGTCTTGTTTTTCACAACACTTCGTGCACGCGTGTGCACGGTTCTTTCTTTCAAGCAAGACGCAAACCTAATTTGCTATCGCAAAATTCTGCGCGGAAAGTTCCGACGCCGACGGTTAGGTAAAACGGTCGTCAGCGAGGCGCAGCGAATTTATGGAGAAACACCAGCGGACGACCTCGTTAGCAAACAACAACGATTAACCGAGCAAAAGTTTCTGCGAGCCATTTGCTGGTGTATCGCGCGACTCCCTGTCGTCGATACGATGACGACAGGGAGGGCGAGAGATGTCGTCGAGATGACGACGTCTCTCGCCCATCGAGTCGAGTCGCGCCAATCCGTGGATCCTCGCGGTAACTTTCGGTTGGCCTCGGCGGTCGCGACATTGCACAATTTTACGCGTTCCACGCTACGTCCTACGTTGCGATTAATTAACGCGAATTAACAGAACCGAGAGCCGGCTAAATAATCAGCGCGCGCGTAACCATAATTAATGTACAAATTCCCTCCAAATGCCTCCCCGGCTCAATGAAAATCCCTCGACGAATTTGCGAGCAGTACACGGATTCCTTCTTCCTGGCGCCAATTCGATCGCGAGTGAAACCGGATTCAGAATGCCAATGTCCGGTGTCCGCGACCGGAAGTCAACAACGGCGACGGATGGATACGACAAACGATCGAATTTCAGCGTTGCATACGTAGTACGTTGCTCAGTCAGCTCGAGAGTAGCTCGAGAGGCGCGACAGTTGCGTTGAAAAGTCGGTTCGGTTCTACGATTTATTCTCACATTTTTATGTTGCACTTTGCGCACCACGCGCAATTATCCATTATCGTGCAATGAGAAACTGCTGCTGTCTTTGTCTTTGTTTTCGTGACATTAAAATATCGAATCGATCAGAAATTTAATTCAAGTTGTCAAGCAGAAATTCAGTTTGCGCGGTTACAATTTAGAAGCGGAATTAAGTAAGACGTAGCAATTTCTTTTCAAGAAAAAGAAAGATGGCAACGGACAGCACGTTATATGTGTGTGCGTGTGTGGTGTGGTATATGTATGTGTGTGTGTCTGTGTACGCGCGCGCGCGCATTGTTCTGTTTACTGAGACTCGCACACATCATCTTTCTCTGTCAATCTAATTTCTATTTGATATTTTTTCATCCCCTCAGCATCCGAATTTTATGCTTTACTTTGGAATGGATTCCTAATTAACCGCGTCGCGTAAATTATATCAATTACATCGCCAGTGCATGTATAATATGTACATACACATAGCTTTATCTGCTATTGCATTTGAGTTTATGGCGCTTATTCATTAGATTCACGCGATTTGCTCTCTCTCTCTCTCTCTCTCTCTCTCTCTCTCTCTCTCTCTCTCTCTCTCTCTCTCTCTCTCTCTCTCTCTCTCTCTCTCCCTCTCTCTCTCTCTCTCTCTCTCTCTCTCTCTCTCTCTCTCTCTCTTCCTTTCTCTCCTTCTCTCCGAGTGAAGGAAAAGTTATAATCGCAATACACACAGCTGGCGTTACTTTTTCTGGCGGGTCCCATGTTTCTGCCAAAAATCTCGATATATTTATGTATTCATTCAATTTGCACTTTTTTTAATGTTAATTGTGCTTTTGTCACATTTTGTGATAATAATTAATTTCAAAATTAAAGAATCTCGCGGAACAAACTCGCGCGCGCGCGCGCGTATCCGCGCGCGAAATGTAGAGGAGAGAAGAGAATTCTCGTTTTTCAATGACTCGCTTTCAAACAGTCACGTAAGTAATACTTTCCGAGATTGCGAAATGAAGCAAATTTCAACATCTCCGGAGCAAATGGCCGAGTGGATTAATTGGGATGAGGTTAGATTATAAATGAGACCATTAGCGTCTCGGAGTTTGGCCCGAGTACCACTGTGAAACCATAAACAATCCGGTCGTTTGATCAGCCGCGTCAGATTCCAATTTTGTATACGCGTTTTCAGGTGAGCCGAGGAGAACGAGGTGTTGAACGAGAACGAATTTCAAGGAATCTCTCCTTGCGCTCGCGATGCAACTCACCGCATCGGCACAACGTGATAAGGCGTAATTCTTTATCAGCGGCAAAATGCGGTCATTCGCGCGGTACATTAAGCCAAGTCGGCTCTTCTCTTCACGCCCGTCTCTCGTGCGTAGTCTTACGCATAATTTTAATGACTCAGTTTTTAATGAACAGCAGGAAATATCGCGCCGTTCCCGATTGCTCTCTTTCTCTCGGTTTTGCCGAGTTTGCAGAGATCGATGCTTCTTTACATCGAGCGATTACTTTGTCGCCATGTTACTCGCCGTGTAAATATGCCAGTAAAAAAAGTTCTTGTACATGTTATCGTAGAAATAGTATCTTTATCTTTCTTTAAAGGAGGGTTTTAGTTTTTGTACACCGCTTTTTGTGTAATCTTTCACCACGCCAAAGTCTTGTTCTTCTGCGTGGCGCGCGGTGGCAGCGTCACCGTGCGCCGCCACTGCGATGGCACCATTTGGCTAAGACCGTTCATCTGTAATAATAATTTTTTACACCACTGAGTTTGCTAAATTGTCTGTTGCGATAACTGACTGACTACGACCAATAAATAGAAATAGCAAGTAAGATCTCAATTGTGAACACGGAAAATGAAGTTTTTCGGCCGCTCGGCTGTGTTCGCGACAGCGTAGGTCAATTCAAATGAATCTTCCATGGGTTTCTACTACTACAGAGGCGCGTACATACGCGCCTCTGGATCTTCTTCGCGACAATACGTACTTGCACGGAGAAAATTCAATGTGAGCAACCGAGAGAGAGAGAAAGAGGGAGAGAGAGAGAGAGAGAGAGAGAGAGAGGGAAAGAGAGAGAGAGAGAGAGAGAGAGAGAGAGAAAGAGAGAGAGAGAGAGAGGAGGCGGAAACCGACTGGGCTGAGTAGAACGGAAATTGCCGCGCCCGCGATGAAAATACTACTTGGCATGCACTTGCTCCGCTAGGAGGAATTAATTGGCTCCCGCAATTCACCCCACGCAATTCTCTCCATACTACTCTATTCGATACTATGTACACTGGCGATCGTAGTTCCACAAAAGCCGGCAAATAGGAAAACGTGATTAATCGGGTTCCGCTCGGACGTGCTTTTTTTTTCTGAAGCCGCAGGCGAGGTGCGTACCTTTCGAATTATCCGAATCCGGGAGCGGGGTCGATTTTCCGCGCGAAAATTCAGGCGACGACCAGGATGATCTCTGTCCTGTGCGTGCGACACGATGTGTAACCACGTTACTACTACCGATCGGTACGTTAACAGAGCAAGTCAATAGCTCGATGATCCTCGTGATCCACCGACCGAGAGAAATGGAATTATTGTATGAATCGAGACACACACGCACACACATACATGACGTCTGGACACAACCGACCCCTTCTTGCGCCCCTTATGCCAAACGCTCCAATTCCTCTTTCCTTCTTCCCCACGTGTCTTTTTATATTTTCATCGTATTCTTCATTCCTCGGATCTTTCAATTTATTACCACGTTAATACGCTTCGTGCCGCGCCGAGTTGTACGTGACTTCTACTCGCGTTTATCACGAATAGTTGAAACAAATTTGTGTGTGTGTGTGTGTATTTCTTTCGTCTTTTAAGGTGCAACCCTTTTTCCTCGCTGACAGAAATTCTTTTGTCTTTTGCTTACAAATGTTTCACAAGTGATACACTTCGCGTATCAATTCGACAAAGTGATCCATTCGATGCGCAACGAAACGTTTTACATATATAGCAAGAGAAAACGTTTCATCATCGAGTTAAGATCTTATGCGAAATCTATGTTCATTGTTCCTGACTTCTCCGAGAATGTAGCGTCGAGCACAGCGTCGTACGCATCCCCCCGTGCGAGTGTTTAACATAACCCGGTCCGCTGTGGATTCGTCGATCGTGAGAAAATCACCCTCAACTGTGAAATCACTTTCCTCCTTCCTCGTATATCGATCTCGTCTGATCTCTGCCTCTCTATCTATCTATCTATCTATCTATCTATCTATCTATCTATCTATCTATCTCTATTTCCGTCCGTTCCTCTATTTGTCTATGTTCCTCTTACTTTTTCTCTCTCATTCACCCCCATAGAGAGAACGCACACAAATTAACGTGCTCCCGTTCTGTTCTCGCATTGCAGGTACAAATCGAATCGTTGCGTGAGCGGGGGCGGTAGCCGCGGAAACGGTGCGACTGGCGGTACCGGGGGCAGTTTAGGTACTGGAGGCGGCGGTCGCGGCAGCGGGGGCGGTGGTAGCCCCGGTAGAGGCAGCGGCGTCACCGGCGGAGGCGGCGGCTGCGGGGGAGGAGGAGGAGGAGGAGGAGGAACAGACGGTAGCGTGGTGCCTACTGCACCAACGACTACCGGCCATCACCTGCACCACCATCACCACCACCACCATCATCATCATTCTACCACCACGACTACCACGACCACTACCACTACTACCACCACTACCACTACCACCACCACCCCCACCGGGGGCACGAGGCATCACAGGCACAAACTGCCGGCCGGCAAGCAGTGCAACGAGTATCGCCACCACCCGCATCCACGTCATCGCTCCCACCGGGGCATGAACATGGGCCAAAAAATTTCAGGTCAGACGCCTCAAAGCTACTACACGCAGAATTTCGTCTCAAATCGAACATAGAGAGAGAGGGAGAGAGAGAGAGAGAGAGAGAGAGAGAGAGAGAGAGAGAGAGGGAGGGAGAGAGAGGGAGAGAGAGAGAGAGAGAGAGAGAGAGAGAGAGAGAGAGAGAGAGAGAGAGAGAGAGAGAGAATGATTAGACTATCAACCGGATCAATCATTCAGCTCTTTTAACGATACTTTGAGATGCGCGGAATCTTCGCTGGGAACGATGTTTTTCTCGTTACTGCGAGATCTCGATGTGTAAGTAACGCAAATCGAATAACAACATATACCGCGATGATACATCCCTTGCTTTCGGTCCTCGGACATTCGATTGCCGTGTGGCACATCGCATATAGGACTTATCTATGAATCAGGTGATACACGGTTACAAGTACAGGCTATATTCGGGAAGATTCGTCGCATTGAATTATTGCGCCATAAACGATCTTACAAAGACGTCAAAATACCCGACTGCGGCCAATGCTACTCGCTTCATACTCGTCCTTCCTAGGTTTCTACATCCTCGCGCGTGAAAGGTTTACCCTTATTTCTAATCTGGGTCATCTCATGGAAATTTGTTTTCAAGGGAACATTCTCAAACTCTTGGCGACAAAAGCAAATTTTACAGCAGCTTCTATTCTTTCTTCTCTCCGTCCTCTTCTCCCCCTCCCTGTCTCTCTTTCTCTCTCTCTCTCTCTCTCTCTCTCTCTCTCTCCCTCTCCCTCTCTCTCTCTCTCTCTCTCTCTCTCTCTCTCTCTCTCTCTTTAAAAGGACTTTTTCGTTCAGAACAATATAGTCTTTAATTTGTATCACCTCTTCGCTACCTGCGGCTAAATGTTTGACCTACGAATAGAAATATTTCGATCTTTCGAATTCGTTAGACTCTTGTTTGTTCCAACTATTCTCCCGAAAAATACATCAGCAACTCTGCCTTCAAATATCTCCTCAGATAACAATTAGACATTTCTTGACTTTGGATTCGCAGAAAACGACGAAGGAAAACGAATCGATAATTTATTCTGTGATCTCCAGCGAGTTGTTTTTCTCCGAGACGAGAATAATGATTTCGTCAGCGGAACTAGCCGCGCTTATGGACGCTTTTTCGCGCGGAGCGAAGTTGCGAAACTCGCACATACGCGCTCGACGACTTTATTTTTCTTCAATGGCTCCGTCCGGTTTCATAAGGAGTTCACGCCTCTGCCGTGCCTCGTCATTAATTACTAAACTTGAAAGCGCCTCAAACTGCGAACTATATGGTGTAGGAGAAGAGTGACAAGCGGATAGAAAAGCATGCCTCGCTTAAATCGCAGTTTACTGTACGTACGACGCTTCGAACAGAACAGAACTCGTTTCTGACTGTTTTTATATTATTCAAGTCAAGTCACATCGCCGAGATTTTTGCGATTTGCGGCGAATTAATCTGCGACTGCATCGGCTCATTACATACGTTACATGATTCGACGATTCTCATTAAGAGCCAGCTTGCAAGGGTCTGTAGCGACGATTGACTTCGTATTCGTAGTCTTCCGACAAGGCGTCACCACCGTCGCCGCGATATGCATCGCGGCTTATCTAATATATGCGATAGATCTTGGCGGTATCCTTTCTTCGCGGTTTTCTGTCGTCAGGACAACCAACAATACTATCGAATCTAGCCGAAAGGCGCGATCTAGAGAGTCAGTTAGTCTGTTTGCGACTTCCGGGCAAGTCACCAACCGACACGTATCCGAACGCCCAGTATATAATAAACCTTCCTGATGTTACGATTACGCTAATTTCTCACATCGTATCTCTCACTATCCTTACAAAACAATTCTCGTGTCCCGTGTCTCGTGTCGAAGATGTGTTCGTCACGACTACACCCGAGAAACTGCCCGACACTTCTCTCTGAAGTTGCTTTTCTTCAAAACTCTGGTCCTACAACAAGATATGTTCCCTCACGAGACAACGAGATTTCACACGCATAACAGGTTTATCTCTGCTTTAAAATATTCTTTCTTCCTGTTTTTGTGCCCGTTTTTATGGCTGCTGTTGTCACAAACCCTATTGAGTTTCCGAAAAGCCATTCGATCACAATCGTCGATTCGTGTCGAATTGAAACTACACGACATACATGACTTTCCCTTTTGTTTGTATCTCGGGCCAGGGGTCCCACGGGAAATAACGTGACGTAGCTGCAGCGGCATATTTTACATATTTTACTTTAAATCGCATCGTCCGATCTGCTTTCGACAGAATTTGAGGTGACCCGATATTTCATGACGTCAGGAGACGTCAGAAGGAAAGATTATGCGACAGGTATAGCAAGGGGAAGCGTCCTCAATGCAATGAGGGGAGCGTGAGTGAGTGAGTGAGACGCAAGAGATTTTGACTTTGATTCAAACCAAAGACTTTTCCCGTCCCCGCAGTTGCTTTTCGTTTTGCCAAACCGGCGCAACGGTAACTTGTGCGGTAAACAATCCTTTGTTATGGAAACTTGGAAATTAACGACACGAACAAGAGACAACATTTGTTGCGGCAGTCGCGTGTTATTACTGGTGACGTGACAACGCAAAGCTAATCGTTACCCCGTTACTCTCTCCATCCGCGGGAACGTTCTTCTTTCCGAACGTTGTTCATGTGCATTAGTTGTTGCGTTAAACATCTTCGAAGTCTCAGTGATCGAATACAACAAATTCACTTACTGCAGTGTGTGTGTGTGTGTGTGTGTTTGCAAGAGCTTGAATAGGTGAATTTAATCTTAAAGGGGAAAAGAAAAAGAAACAAACAAACACCCATCTTAACAATAACGAAAATAACGAAATAACGAAAAAGGAAAGACAGAGAAGGAAAAGGGCGCGGGATATACGTTTGGTATATGGTTGGTTGCTAATTAATGCTCCATGTGTGTTGAAAGTACAAAAATCCCTCGGCACCCGATGCATAAACTTCAAACGCAAATTCACCCTCCCGCTGATAATTAAAATTGTCTCGCGATCAGACACTTTCGCGATTCCCCCCTCCCCTCCCTATCCTTTCTCTACCTCGATTGAATACCACGAAACAAATATTTACGTCCCCAATTCTCTTGTTCGTTATATCCTCAATGTTTCCGGATATCCAGTGCAGTGTATCCACGTCACAGATAATGAAATTAATCTTTATAACTCGCGGCAATTTCGACTTTCTCACGTTGTGTAACGCTGAACGCGTTCTTGAACCGCCCGACTGGTTTCTGGCTCAATGGGTAAACTTGTGAGAGGCACATACACCTCCCGTATTAAAACTGTCATTACCCTTGACATTTTTCGGTCGTTGCCGGTAGTTTCGTTGAATCGCCTCTTTATCTGCGAAGCACGAAACACTTTATCTACTACTATTATTATAAAATAGAATACTGTATATTGTATATTTTTGCCACATGACTAACGACCCAGCGAAAAGAGAATGTCGAGACGGCGTACGACGGCGGACAGCCGTCTTACAATGTTTCCCCTCTATCGCAACGATATCGTCCGGAGTCCGATGAGAGTTTCGGGGGTACGCAGGTCCGGCGTACACAAGAGAGAACACAGAGCACGAGAGAGACGAGAGAGAGAGAGAGAGAGAGAGAGAGAGAGAGAGAGAGAGAGAGAGACGAGAGAGAGAGAGAGAGAGAGAGAGAGAGAGAGGGAGAGAGAGAGGGAGAGAGAGAGAGAGGGAGAGAGAGAGAGCACATCGTCATCGTTTCAAAGCGTCCAGCGCGAATTCGAAATCGAACTACCGATCACGCAGGTGGAAGTCGAATCTCATCTGACTAAAGTTCATCCCTACTGTTTACAGGCGGCGTGAAGAGCGTGACGCGCGAGAGCGGAGCCGGAGCGGGCGCTGGAGTAGGCGTTGGTGCTGGCGGTACAATGATGTACAAATCAGTTGTACCGCGTGAATTGTCGCAGGACTTTTCGAGACCAGCGCGATTGGACGTACTCCTCGACATGCCTCCCGCCTCGCGGGAGACACAGGTCCATCACAGTTGGAACGCCGATGATCGTAGTCTCAACATATTCGTTAAGGTGACGCGACTTGGCGCGCAGGGAATACGCGCTGTTTATTGTTATCGTTATCACAAGTTACACAAGTACACGACAAGAGGCGTACAGTGTGTACTGACGATCACCGTATTGTGTCCTCCTCCTTTCGCAGGAAGACGACAAGTTGACGTTCCACCGACACCCAGTCGCGCAGAGTACGGATTGCATACGAGGAAAGGTGGGATACACCAAGGGCATGCACGTATGGGAATTGCAGTGGAGCACGAGGCAACGGGGCACTCACGCTGTAGTGGGAGTAGCGACGGCGGACGCGCCGCTTCACAGTGTCGGTTATCAGAGTCTGGTTGGCAACAACGAGCTCAGCTGGGGATGGGACCTTGGTAGGAACAAACTCTACCATGACTCGAAGAATAACAACGGCGTGACGTATCCGGCCCTCCTCAAGCCGGATGAGACCTTTATTGTTCCTGACAAATTCTTGGGTGAGTGCACGGTGTACACCGCGTGTACCTCGTGTCGTTACACCACGAATAACTCGACATTGATTCGTGGTCGAGGAGGAGGAGACACTTTCACTTCGCGGCTTGTGTTATGCTCTATGTGTATGTGAAGAAAGATATCCTCTCTTGGGATGTGTCGAACACCTTGTTTCTTCGCCGTGTTTCCTCGTGTGAGATAACGTCTGTTGACCCTGCCACTACTGTTGATTTTGTGCTTTCTCCTTTCTCCCCCCCTCCCCCCTCTCTCTCTATCTATCTATCTATCTATCTATCTATCTATCTATCTATCTATCTATCTATCTATCTATCTATCTATCCATCTATCTATCTATCTATCTATCTATCTATCTATCTATCTATCTATCTATCTATCCATCTATCTATCTATCCATCTATCTATCTATCTATCTATCTATCTATCTATCTATCTATCTATCTATCTATCTATCTATTTATCTATCTATCTATCTATCTATCTATCTATCTATCTATCTCTATCAATCTCAAGGTGATGGAAACTGTCATCATACGCGATTTGTTCACAGTGGTCCTCGACATGGACGAAGGTACGTTAGCGTTCGTAGTGGATGGCCAATACCTTGGAATAGCCTTCAGAGGACTCAAGGGAAGAAAGCTACACCCCATTGTGTCCGCCGTGTGGGGACATTGCGAGATCACGATGAAATACATCGGCGGACTCGATCGTACGTAGCATTTAGAGTTATCGAAGAACACTGGACACTGGACGTATGTCCGACACACTTACCACTTGACTAACCCGCCCATCTTCTCTGCAGCTGAACCATTACCCTTGATGGATCTCTGTCGAAGAGTAATCCGACAGCGAATCGGCAAACAGAGATTAGAAGAAAAGATCAACGACCTGAATCTGCCGCAAGCAATGAAGACTTATCTCCTTTATCGCGACCGAAGGTAACCACCGAGTGAATCTCTCATCACCGGCGAATACGAGTGCGAACGTCACCGCGCTACAACGTTGTTGGCATTACGACGCACAGGTGACCGCCCGCTACCCACCCTCGCATGCCACCGAGCACAGCAGCCCTTTAGCCGCGCGTCTCCGTCAATCAAGCGTCATCCGATGATCAACAGACTGACACGCATGATGCGACGAAGCATTGAGACGTACACTGGCACTTCGAGAAGACACGCCGAGAGAACGGTGTCGAGATACCGTATATATACTGACTCATGGCGTCCGTATTGGGATAGACCGCGACGACCGCAGTATTTATCGTCGTTATCATCACCGTCGGTGAGCTTGGCTCAATGGCGACTACGTGGTTCGCTCCGTAAATCGTGATTGAAGCTAATTCTTTACAATAGTATGATTTGAACTAGTAGGTGTGAATTTAGTTAGTTTTTACGTGGTTTTAGTCAAAAATACAAAATGCAAAAGGGAAACATACGTTATGTTTGTTATTGTAGGCTATTGAAAATATAATTTTATATTGTTAATTTAAAAAGAAATGATTGCGCCAGGATGTAGGGCGTATTGTTATCTTTTGCATTGCAAGGGACGAATAGAGCAAAATAACTTTCAAGGTAAAAACTTTGATGTAGAGAGATAGAGGGGGGAGGGGAGAGGGGAAGAGAGAGAGAGAGAGAGAGAGAGAGCGAGCGAGCGAGCGAGCGAGCGGTTTCCCCGTTTCTTTTTATTCGCTTTGGAAAAATACGAGATGATGATAGCGATGCATGATATATGATATGTGCTGCTTCAACGGGAAGAGAAGAATCCTCTAGAGACGCGTGGTCGATGAAGGAAAGCAAGAAATTACGCGAGAAAACACGGAAAGACCTACAGCGCTTCTCAATTGGCCAGTAAAAAATTAGATTTAATCAAGCTGATACGGGCATATCGCTTACAACTGACAGTTGATCGACAGTTAATAGTGGGCTTGTTGTATAGTTCAGCTTTAGCTGACATATACAACATAATGATGTGGTTGAACAAAGGTTAAAATGAATGACTAAGGAAAAGACGAAAAGTGAGAGAAAAAAAGACACACACACACAGAGAGAGAGAGAGAGAGAGAGAGAGAGAGAGAGAGAGAGAGAGAGAGAGAGAGAGAGAGAGAGAAAGTAGATAAGTGAGTGATTGACTGTGAGTAAGTGATAAAGTGAATGAGTGAGTGAGTGAGCGAGTGCGAGAGAAAGAGTGAGAGAGAGAGAGAGAGAGATGCGCAGAAAAATGGCAAAAAAGTTTTTACGATGAGCACTAGTAACCAGCGAGAGATGGGAGTTTATTTGGTTCATGAGTGGGATGATTAATTGAATTTGCGACAAAAGTGTGTACAGTGATGGAAGTCGACGCAGATTGAGCAGCCACCTTCCAATAGAAACTCATTTTTCAAGTATTTTCTAAGCATGCTAGGTCTAGTAAAATATTGTGCTGTATGCGTGTGTATCATGGATGGATATAGAAGACAAAGAAAGAGCTACGGCGAAGGAGCTACGAGGTGAAGAAAAACAAAGGTTAGCTCTGCCATAATCTTCTCTCGCTGCACAAAGAAACGTAGACTTCACAACTGAGCTTCATAGCGTAAACACGCGAGAAAGTATGTAGCTGGGATAGGCAGGGGATTTTACGGAATGAAGAAGTCGAGAGTGAAGAATGCGTTTGTTTTCAAAGATGGAAGAATAAGTCGAACTTTAATGTATCCGATAACAAGCGTAATAAATCAATTAATAACGTGGAGCAGCGGAAGAATCAATAAAAATAATTAATAAAATTAATTACCTCATCTAAGTGAATTAAAAATAATAAACGATAGTTGTTCTACTACTATCTAGATAACATTTAGGAGGAAATGACTCTTAAGACGGGCATTGGCAGAAATTATTCCAAACACGAATTAAAACTGTCAGAATGGGCCGCTAACGTTAGTAATTATAAAAAAAAATAAAATGAACGACAAGAAGCAGGAGGAGAAAAAATAACAAATAAAATACGATGATTATTATAATTACAATGACTACGACGATGAGTAATGATGCTGATTATGACAATGAGGAGCGACAATGAATAATGATGCTGACTATATCGGGCGTGTAACTATTATATACTATTAGCATGACAATTCTTGCGACTGGTCCTTAAATAATACCACGTTTACTCTTACGTTTGTCGCTTAGGTTAAAGGTAATTCCGCCGACGATGTCGGCAATGTCGATTTGTACATAGATATATCGATAATAACGATGATGTACGTATGTATTGCACATTTGCAAAACATGGAATAGGCAGACCAAGTGCAAGAGAACGAATGAAAGGGAGAGAGAAAGAAAAGGAGGGAGGAGAAGGAATGAATGACTAAGTGAGTGAGTGAGTGAGTGAGTGAGTGAGTGAGTGAGTGAGTGAGTGAGTGAGAGAGAGAGAGAGAGAGAGAGAGAGAGAGAGAGAGAAACGCAGATCACTTTCAAATGTTTTCAGTATCTAATGTGATTATCGTGCATCGTCAAGCTCGTCATTCTCGGTGATGTCTTGCTTTTTCATCACGCGATTCGAAATCACCCTGATTCTCATTTACTCCAGTACCCATGCATCGTTGTTCCCACCTCCGGCTTGAGCTCTTTTGGGACTCTGAGCGTCTTCCAAGTTGTCGCCAATCGCTCGTAGTAACCTATTTACCGGCACTGAGTGAGTAGAGAGCGTGTGCTTGTGCGAGCGACATAATAAAACGAGTGAATTTGCAATTCACATCAGTTCGATCTCACGATATCCGGAAGAAACAAAGAAAGAAGAAAAAGGCGACAAATGGAGCGGTCGGTTCGTCATACGTTAAGATACGTATACATTACAGACGAGCGGACGAACACTCGGATTCGAACAAACGGTGAATTTGGTAAATGTGCACTAATTGCTATTCGCATTGCTGAGCGAACGAACAACAAACAAACAAACATTGAACGCGAATGTTCGGACGTTCGCATTCGTGTGTTCGTGTGTTTGGATCATTTTCAACTTTAGACCCAGAGGAATACGTCAGTCGAATGTAAGAACTCACTAAATGCTCAATGAACGGTCATACTATTGAATGTATTCAGTAGTATTCTGTAATTTTCTCAGTCGAATTCGTTCGCCGAATTCCGCCGTTCGTTGTTCGTTCGTTTAGTGTGTATCCGTTTTTTTATACATCTCTTGATGAGCGAACCCGATCGAAAGCGAATCGGACGCTGACAAATGTTCGGCTTGTATTCGCTGTGGCCGACACATTTGCCGAATTCACTGTTCGTTGTTCGCTATGCGTCGATCATGCGTTTTTCGTCTTCTTATCAATTGCATGGCCCATCCCATGTCGGATTTCCTGTTTGCTCTAAAGCCTCGTCGAACGTAAGTTGCATTTTGCTTTCTTGCATTTGTATCTTCGCCGACCATCTCCATCCTTGGTCGCAGTCTCTGCCATTGTCTTCGTCTGGACGAGCCGATGCTGCTCGCTCGCCAATCGATCGATTCTCTTTGCCGAAGTGATCCGTGCGCAGCGACGCAGCCCTCACAATGTAGCGATCACAACTGCACCCGTACCAGTCAAAAGCACGTACGATCTCGCACTCGGGGCAGAGGGTTGCGCGCCTCTCCGCGCGGTCCTCAGTCACGCGCATTGCACATACATACACGCAAAAATACACAAATCAGAAAGTATGGTGTAAAGTCGATAATTGAACCGATAGCTTATCGACAGTAAGACCATCGGTGAGACAGACAGAGAGAGAGAGAGAGAGAGAGAGAGAGAGAGAGAGAGAGAGAGAGAGAGAGAGAGGGAGAGAGAGAGAGAGAGAGAGAGAATTGTATTATGAAGCACACACGGAGCTTGGGTGAAACAGTTTAGTGAAGCGGAATAGGCTGCCGATATAAGTCTAAAGTTTCCCAGTTTTGATTCTCTTGCGTCCCCCCTCCCCCTCCCCCCCGGTATATTTTCCCTCTTGTCTCTCACATTGACAACTCTCTCTTTATTAACAATATATACTTTTGTTACTCCTCGCATCACGTCGCGACGGTTTTTATACGTGGAGAAAAAAAACGCAATACCGGGATGATATTCAGGTTGCACTCCAGGAAAGTCAAATTCTCTCAATCTTTTTCTCGTTGAGGGGATTGCCTTGTTGCATTCATCAATATATGAATATGTGGATGGAGGATTCGGCAAGCCATTAGGATAGCGAAAGTACAAGTTCGAAACGAAGAATTGTATACTGTTATTACTAAATTGACAATGTTTCCTTGAAATATTGGTATCTTTTTGATGCTACCAGTCTCTATCGGCACATTACGTCGAAGAATAACTTTTGTCTTTCCGTGAGCATGAAACAAGTGAGCGAGCGAACAAAGGTAGAACGCTACGAGATCTGAGAGATGTCCGCGCACAGAAAGAGAGCCGTGTCCGTGGTCTTCGTCTTAACGCGGTTGCTGTATCTTGAACTTTTTGTTGTTACCCGAAGTCCGACGGAAGCACGACGACGACGAGAGCGAGACGGCTCTCTTAGGGGGCGACGGATGCGCGCAACACAATAGTAAAGTTGACTCTAAGATTCTAGAGTACATATACTCGTACCACGGAACGTACGCACGTAATGAGACGGCGACCGTTTAAACGATTTTCAGATACCCTGAACTCATCGCGAATTTATGTCGGTGTTTTCGACCCTCGAGGAGCGAACATCCCCCGAGTCTTGGTATATATACACTTGGTATACACGTGTACGTACGCGTATATTCGCTCTCAAAAAGCGGGAGGTATTCCCGCAACTATACTTATTGCTACCCATTGAGAGAGAGAGAGAGAGAGAGAGAGAGAGAGAGAAAACTACACAACATTATTTTATATAAATTATTGCCTCTGAAGCGCGAGTTACGGTCCGAGCATGACGTAAAAAAAATTAAAGAATATTAGTGGCTGTATATATTATTATTAATGATTAATAGTATTCTTGTATTATTCGATAAAAAGGATTACACAATTACATACATGATTTTGTTTTATTTTATGTACGATATGGAAGATTATACATCTGCACGCGACCGTGCAGTCAATATCAATTGACGAATGCGATAGAATCAATCACAGTCGATCAATTCGTGACTATTCGACTGCGAACGCGCGTTATAGCATATTTACGTTTTAAATTTACACGAATTTATCTTAAGTACTTTTGTACGAACAGATGAGTCGAAAAGAAAGATCTTCAAATCTTGTAAATTAAATTGGGCAGAAAATAAACACGCTATATGACTTTTACAATTGTTAATCATAAACGAAATGGAATTGTAAGTATTCAAGATATTCAACGAACAAAAAAAGTTGAAATTTTAACTCGTCATTTCTCTGCTCTCAATTCTACAAGACCACGTCTATGAGATAATTTCCTATTAAAATTTTTTATTATAACGGCGGTTTCTATTTTTACGGATTGTGTCTAAAATTAACACAAGTGAAAGTGAAAAAATATATATATATATATAAATATATATATATATATATTTCCTGTTATCATTTTCTCTTAATATCTTCTTTCTTCATTTCTTCTGTTCTGTTTAATATTTGTTCCTTTCTATTCATTTCTTCTTCGTATGTGTGAGTAACCACTTGTGTGATTTGATATAATGTAATGTGTATGATTGGCGAAGATATATTATGATTATTTACATGTAAACTGTAAAGTGACCGTCGCACGATGCTGATTTTACGATTTGTCAAATCGGAGAAACAGATTTTCCGAAATGAAAACTATGACGAGTAAGATTCATACGTTTTACAAAGCTTAGGATTTAATATCAGGTTTTCTCATTGCATCGATCGATCGCATAAAACGATCGCAAAAGGAGACTGTTGAGCTAGTTTTCGATAACAAGACTTGCGGTAACGTGTACGATTCGTTTGCGTAAATCGCGAAAGGTTTCTTTGTCAAAATTGGCGTGACCATTGCGAGGATTATTTTTCCGTCAACTGCCTGTTTGCCTGCCCTTGCAAACTATATTGCTCGACAAACGTATCTAATTTATTGACAATTTTATATTCAGCAGGACTATGCCTTGCAGAACTATGCAGGACTAGGTAATATATCTTTAATTTGTTTAATTAATTAGGATAGTAATCTAAAAACAAAACAAATAAATCGAAAGCAAGAAAGTGTAAATGCATTTATATGAGTGCTCGATTATGCGCGCGCGTGTGCATGCATGCGTGCGTGCGTGCGTGCGTGCGTGCGTGCGTGCGTGCGTGCGTGCGTGCGTGCGTGCGTGCGTGCGTGCGTGCGTGCGTGCGTGCGTGCGTGCGTGCGTGCGTGCGTGCGTGCGTGCGTGCGTGCGTGGTGTGTGTGTGTGTGTGTGTGTGCGTGTGTGGTGTGTGTGTGTGTGCGCGCGCGCGCGCGCATGCGTAATCAAAGTCACACAGAGGACATTACAATCTTTTATTAATCGCGAGGATTACTTTTCTTCCACTTTTATCTGCGCAGACTTTTACTGTTTTGTTTTATGTTTTCTCAGATGTCATAAAATCTCGACGACATAAAATATCCATGTAAAAATATATAAACGAGAGATATTTATTATATTTCGCCAGTCGATGTGCATGAGAGATGACATGTAATTTAATGAAATTTTTGTGACGAAGAAACGGAAGGAGAGCGGGGAGTGGGATTCGTCGACGACTGCCAAGAAGAGGACATTAGATTATAAATGTAAATGATTCTCATATTATGCTCTGTTTTCTTGGTGTTTCCCCTCGTCTATTTTTCTCTCTTTTTTTTTCTCTTTTTTCTCTCTCTTTGTTTTAAACCTGAACTATTGTAACGAGCGATCTCACGTCTATTTTATAAGTGTAAGTTACGCGTTTAGCGTGTTACTGTAATGGACGCGCCAAGTTCCGCAGAGAACGAGAGGGGGGAGAAAGTGAAAAAAACGTCCCGAATCTCAAAAAGTGGGGTAACAAGATAAAGCAAAATATAATTATTTGATACGTGCGAATACCACACACGCACACGTACACACACACACACACACACACACACACACACACACACACGTGCACGTGCGCGCATAATTGTATTCGTGTGTATAATTATTTTCGCGGGAGTAATCCATTCTGTTGACCTTTCAAACAGAAAATTGTATCGTTTTCCTATGTTGATTTTAGAGTTGCAATTTCATTTTTCTACAGGCTGCTGTATCTACTTGCATTTCGGAATTACAATTTCTCGGGATTTTGCGTGTCCGTCGTTATCGAAACCGAGACACATGAAAAATGCATGAAACGGAGACTAATGCCTTAATGTTAACGATAATATTAAATGCATCACTATACGATTAGCTGACGGGAAAGGGAGGAGCGGACTTTGCAGGAACGAGTGAGTGAGCGAGTGAGTGAGTGAGTGAATGAGTGAGTGAGTGAGCGAACGAATGAGTGAATGAGTGAATAAATGAATGAGAGAGTAAATAAAAACAAAAAATGTATACGTTGGGAGAAAAACATTCATTTGTTTATTCAACTAATAACATATTTATTTAAATTTAAGTTTTTTTATTCAAGTAAGACGAGTATTTGTTCTCTTTTATAAAAGATTACAGTCTTGAGAAAATGTACATTTTCTCATGTGAAAAGAATGTTTCGTCAATGTAAAAAAAAAATATATATATATATATGTGCGTGTATATATATTACATAGTATATATATAGTATATATATATATATATATATATATATATACACATCTTATATATATGTGTGTAATATTGGTGCAAGTAAATATGTTATTAATGGAATGAATATTTCTTTATTCTTTAGACATTTTTTCTCTCAGTGTATCGTGGACAAACACATACATACGGAAACTAACACACAAAATACCGAATGCGCCATTGTTCCATTCAGTTTGCAGTTTCATAGTTTCCTTTTTTACTATTCCGACGACAAGAGAGAAAAGGTGCGCAAATGATGTGTGTACAATAGCGGACAACTGCTATCTAAAATAGTTCAGGCTAGATGTCGATGTTTGTAGCGGATAAAACAAGAAAAACAATACATATTGTAATTAAAATCTAAAAAAATCATAATGTCGCCGGTTTTTTTACTCGATACGAGATGCAATCTGTAAGTCGACATTCTGCTAATGCTGCGACATGCTTCGTGCCAAGGAGGATGCATCGTCATTCGTTTTAATCGGTTGATCGATTCGCAGCAACGTTACGTTCTCGTTCCCCGAGGCCTAGTAAAAATTGATTGATTCCGAAAACAGTGGCAATTTTATCATCCACAAAATTGAAATTTCATTTTTGCGCATTTTGGGCGCGTTTCGCCCGAGAAGGAATCGAAAGCGACGCGCAAGGTCAGTCACGTAGGTGCCTCTCGCATTTATCGACGAAATTAACGAATCGAATCCGAGGTATCTCGCTTTGTCGCGTTCACCGAGACCGAGTTGTCCGTGGCTTTGTGCACTTTCCTTATCACGGGTGTGTCGCAGTCTCTGTAAAGCACGTCGCAGTCCTCGCCTCGAATTCCCGCTGCGCCCGCATCCCTCACGAGACGATCCCAACCTGAGGACGGCTTCAGCGACTTCTCTATTCCGTTCCTGCGAAAGAACGGAAGCGGGGTGAATTGCGTTGTGTGAATCGCGTATTACATTCACCGTATTTATTGTTCATTTTACCGCAATAGATCCAGATTTACATACGGATTCGACACACGCGAACTTTACTCGCGTGTGTCCTCTCGCATTCGTTTGCATTCGTTAAAAATCTTAACCGCACCGGATTGTGCAACATCAACAGTTGTCGATGGCAACGCGAAATTCTCCCTTTAGTCTCTCCACATACGATCAACTCGAATGCAGCATCGAATGCGAAATGCTGTAACGGACGCTCCTGGAATGATGAGAGACGCCACAACGGAACTTACGTCAGGTACCTCGCCAGCATTTTGCCGGGCGCGCCCAAGTCTTGGAAGAGCTCGCGATTCTCGAGGCAGATCGTCCTTTGTATGCACCGTACTCTGGCATCGTTATTAAGAACCTCTTCCTCCTCCGGCGTCTGAAAAAAGCTTTGCGAAAAGTCCCAATCTACCGCCGGCGTTAGCAGAAACTTTCGCGGCGAGCTTCAGAATTTGTAATTTATTCTCGTCCAGCAAGACAAAACGTTGTTTCATCAAGACGGCTAAATCTCCGAGTCCATGGCGGCGAATTCGATTGGCTGTATTGGTATTCGTCGACCTGGTCTATGGGACCTGTGCATCGACGAGGGGACGAGTGACAGGAAACGGGAAATTAGTCGCCTCGCGGCGTTTTATCGCCTCGACTGAAATTTCATGCCGAGGAATTCATTTGCTCTCTACACGCACGAGTTGCCGCCGCGTGTGATCGCGTTTCGCGCGAGAACTTTGTTACGCGTTGAATTTTCCGGTGCGAAAAGACCGGTCCGAGACGAACGGGAGAAATATTCCTTATTCCATTAATTCGGAACCTAATCGGGAAAGAACCACGTACATACCACGACATCGAAGTCGCGCGTTGCGTAGACATTCCGCTTTTGCCTGGACGCTAACAAATCCATTATCGCGTCTTTCCGCTTAACGGCGCTCAGCGTATTCTGTATAATCGCCAACAGCAACAACAGTCCGATGAAACTGACTATGACGAGCTGTTTCGACGACGGCACGATCGAATGCTCCACCGAGTGTGCCACCGGATACCCAATATTGTTGGGATACTCGTATCCATACGGCACGTTTTCGCTTCTGTGATGCAAAAACGCTCTTTGAGGTGCTGAAACATGTTTTGGAGGAAACATCAGTGGCACGGACATACAGAGATACAGAGACAGACAAAACGATAGATGCTAGTAGATGAATAGATAAATAGATGGATGGATGGATGGAGATGGAGGGGGGAGAATAGAGAGAGAGAGAGAGAGAGAGAGAGAGAGTTGAAATTGCGACTGTATCTCCTCGAGGTTTATCTACGGTAATTAAACCGCGCTTTTCTGGTTTCCATCGAGGAAAGAGTTTGCAAGGTTGTTTGAGAAGAAAAAAGAAAGACGAAAGCACGAACGAATCTCGCGCCTTACATACATACGCCCCATGCTTTTCTCTTCTTCTCTCTTTTCTTATTATTTACTTGCGTGGGACGACATTTTAATAAACAAATATGGCCGACCTACCGACATACTTCAATTCCTCAATGAGAGAATGAGCTCAGCTCATTAGGTTTGTAGGTTTAATGCGCCGCCGATTCAGGCGCGCGACCCGTTAGCTACTCGATTATAGATAGCCGCGCATAAAGGACAAGTGATCGAACGACACGCCGCGTCTTAGCGTAACTAAAATAGAAAAATCTTTACCGGAGAAAAAGTAATCCGAGGGCAGCATTGGCAACATTGGCTGCGACTGCGGCTGCGGCTGCGGCTGTGGCTGCGGCTGCGGCGGCAAGAGGAGGCTCGCATCATATCCGCGCGTCATATCCGGCTGAGCCACCGGCTCGGTCTTATCCCCCATCTCTGTCAAAGACGAGCCATTCCCGTTGGGCGGGAACACCACGATTTTCGTATCCTGGCCGGCGATTAAAACGGCCGCGAGCGTGCCGAGCAGCACAAGTACTTTCATATTCCAAGGGGAGAATTGCCTTTTCCAGACGAGAGATGCAAAACTATACGAACTAATCTATCGTTACCTACCGACTGAGCCTGGTCTAGTCTAACTAGCTCGCGGACGGGCGCGCGCGATCCGGCCGGCTGGCCTTTACCTCGCGGCGGTAAAGGTTTAAATCTTTCGTAGGACCGGCACCGCCGCCGTCGCCGCCGTGACACGCGGACTGATGCGGAATGTACGTGACGCTGCGAACTTAAACGGCCGGCTTGTCGCGGACGTGCCGACATTTTCCCCTTCGTGTCGCGTCGAATTCGACACAGCTGAGACGACGGGAAGATTGCGCACGACGGGGACGAGCGCAATTTCGGGAACGAGCGACGATCATTCGGCCCGCTGAGCTGTCCGACGAGTTTACGAGTCACGGATCGTGACTGCTGCAACGAGCCGATGAAACACGCCCGTTCCACTTGCACAGCGAGAACGCAAGAATTACCATTTTTCTTCCTCTCTGCCGAAGAAATAGTCCCATTGCTGCTGGGATGTACGGTAAATCTCGGCAATTCGCGTTCGCAGCGACGATGACGCTGACTTCTTGAGGATAACGAGTTAATTTCTCTTTCCGCTTTCGCAGCAGCGTCAAAACTGAAGATTTGTCAGCCGAAAATCTCTACTCTCACAATATATACATATACTGTGAGACTATATACGCATCTCTAAGACATTGTAGTTATTATTTCCCGAAAAAGTTTTCCTTCGCTCTCTCTCTCTCTCTCTCTCTCTCTCTCTCTCTCACCCCCTCTCAACAGCAGAGCTGGCTGTGCGTCCAAGTGCTTTGCCGCTTTCACCACGCGCGAAGAGATTCGCTCCTGAGAGACCCCTGCCAGGAGACTTGGGAGGAGTAACTACTGGGAAGAGAGACCTCGAGATTATAGAAACTATTCCCCTTTCCACGATACTTTCATCGTGCACAGCAAACATTGCGATTTTCATTCGAACATAACAGTTTTCGGGAAAAATCCGTGTGCTGATCGACGGCGATTAGTAACGATCGCGAGGAATTTCCCAAGGGAATCCAATCCCCAGTTGAGGAGAAGGTGTTTTGACCTGATTTAACCGATGACACTTTTGCACCGATTCGAGCCGTCGAATTCACGAGGCTGCCCTACTCTCTGCCAGACTCTACGGTCTGGTCATCGAGATGCCGAGAGAGAGAGAGAGAGAGAGAGAGAGAGAGAGAGAGAGAGAGAGAGAGCAGAGAGAGAGAGAGAGAGAGAGAGAGAGAGAGAGCAGAGCTATGTTTCGTGCGGGTATTTCAGCAGCGAGAGGAGCGAGACGACACGAGGAGGGTAGAAATCGGTCTGGCTGCTGAGGCTGCAAGGGGTTGCTATGGCGATGAATCGGAGGTGGGGAAAGGGAACCTGGAGGGTTCGTCTGTCTGCAGCCCTTCTAAAGGGGATGGTGTCCTTCGCGCCGTCTCTGGAGCTTTCTCGCTCATACTCTCGTCAATCTCTCTCGGCTCCAATGTTGGTTTGCAATTTCGTCAACCACTTTTGATGTCGATACAGGGCCGCATTATCTCTTAGGATATATTGTGAGTGTATCTAACGTCTTTCCGTACAACAAACAATCTCCGTCCGAGAGAGTAACATTGAATATCTTTCGACCGCGATTCGCGATGCGATATACTCACGAACGCGATCAAATTACATATTTCCGCACTCGCTTCTCGTCAAGATCACTTTGCACATGAGTTTAGGAGTCACATTCGATTTGACGATTTGATAGACGCGCTGTTCAACGCGATGTTCTCCTCTCGTTTTATTATCACCAAAGTGCATTTTCGTACGAAAATCCGTACGTAGGTGTCATTGTTGTAGGTGGTAACGTAAATCGCGTAAAACCAATTCAGTGTCGAAGCCTAGAAGTGACTTTGTTTGCGGACGAACGTTTGAAACAGTCGACGTTCCTATTACGTCTCACGGTTCAGTTAATTCCGTAGAGCTGATAATCTCCACAAGGGGAAACACTTGCCGCTTTAGATGCCACGTCATCATCCACCCACTCGTACTTCTCGCGCTGTCGGCTTTATGCGAACCTCCTCGGCACTTTATTCATTATTTACATCTACAAAAGACTCTCCCGTTTGCATCTTGTTGCTAACTTATTAGAGAGAAGCCCAGTTTTCTCTCTCTCTCTCTCTCTCTCTCTCTCTCTCTCTCTCTCTCTCTCTCTCTCTCTCTCTCTCTCTCTCTCTTCCTCTCTCTTTCTCCATGAGAACGGTGTGTCTACTCTCGTCTCGTTGAACGTCTCGCGCCACTCATCGTCTCTTTACCGCGAACAACAAAAGGCGATGTGCTCTTTTTTTCAGAGTCGACGAACATCGCGACTACATATCGGGGTCATATCGATGGACACACCGCGTGAACGAGCCGCGATTTTACGCCAACGCGACGCGAACGAACGCTATATTTTTAGCTCGCTTTTGCACCGCCGGTTGACACCTGCTACTTTTTTATCAGCATCCAATAGCGTACTTTCTTCAGCAACAATCAGAGGTTCGTCATGCTCCATTATTTGCACCAGAGTGACGCCTGCTATCGATTTTACATGTTACATGCGGTTTTTTTTCACGGCTACGTTCCTTCGCACACATCTCGACGAAGGGGTGCAGCGCGAGAGATCGTTCTCTTTCTCCCTTCCTCCCTCTCTCCCACCCTCTCTCTCTCTCTCTCTCTCTCTCTGTCTCTGACGCACGGTCGATTAATTATAAAAAACTGCGAGCGATAAAGTAAATGAAAGTAGGACGTATGAAACTTTATTGATTGCGCGCTTCACTTATTTACTTTTGTTCACCGAACCGGGAATCTGGATAATAACTGGAAAATCCATGACTAGTGGAAAATGCGAATGGTTCCGAGAAAGATTTTGATGTCCCTCGATAAGGTATATATATATGGAAGTTTGTGATTTGCTTTCGCGACGAGTCCTCCAAGACGGGACTCTGTGCATCTCGTCTATGTCTGACCGTGTGCGGATCTTACTGCTGAGATATGCAGCCGACGCGGATCTCACTTTCTCAGGACGCAACAAGTCCGAAACGTGATTTAGCACTTCGTCAGCGATTATCATAACATCGATTTTTTTTAATTAAAACATACACGAGAGTAGAATGTATTGAAATTTTGCTATGACTAAATCTGGAGACATCTCTACATTTTGAGTAGAAAGCATCATTTACTACTGTGTGTGTGTGTGTGTGTGTGTGTGTGTGTGTGTGTGTGTGCGTGTGCGTGTGCGTGTGCGTGTGCGTGTGCGTGTGCGTGTGCGTGTGCGTGTGCGTGTGCGTGTGCGTGTGTGTGTGTGTGTGTGTGTGTGGGTGGGTGGGTGGGTGGGTGGGTGTGTGTGTGTGTGTGTGTGTGTGTGCGTGCGTGCGCGCGCGCGCGCACGCGTGTGTGTGTATGTATGTAATTGCATGGTGAAATAATTATAGTAGGAAAACAGCCATTTTTGTAATAATTTTGTAATTTTTGTAATAAACGTTACTATATATTACAGTTTATAATACTTTTATATACGCAAATATATCTTAAATATACTGTTACTATTATTTTCGTTAGGACAACGAGGTGCCGTTTACAAAGTCAAAAAGTGATCTCTAAGTCGCAGTCAGATTAACAATTTGTTTTCTCAATGCAAATAGAGTTTGCATGTACACACAGGGAATGTGATTGAATTCTTCAACATTACCATGCTGTCGCTACCGCGACTCTCTCAGTCCCCCGTCCATTCAGATCGAATATTGAATCGATATAAAGAAGCGCGAATATTCGAAATCAAGTTTATCCCTACTCGGATTCGCTAACATTTTGCACACATTAGGGTACACAATAGGGTCGACGTGGCTGGATACAAAATTTTCCGGACTCTCGAATGACAGCTACAGTAGTTCTCTAGCTTCGGTATTAATGAGACGCATGCGCCCCGCGCATCGCTCGTCCGCGGCACGTGAGAACAGGACGAATCGTCGAGGATCCATCCGGGGTCAGAACGACTCGGGAAATCCCTTAAAGCCGAGAGGTCTCGCCGGTCCCTCCGTTCCTTCGCTCAGCCCCTTGACGTCGAATCTATTTTCTTAACTCGGAAGGGAAGTCTTCGTAATTTTTTTATCCCATCCCCAGCAATCTTAAACACACAGATCGTGACGATTGATTTTCGCCACATTTCTTCAACTAATGTGTCTTTTGCGATTCTTCGCGCGAGCGTACGGTCGATCTGTTTCGCGGAATTTAATATACAGAATATTCTGCATTTTTTAACACGACCGTGTGTATGTCGCTTTCGCATGAAACTCTCAAACGCTCGAGTTATGGCCGGATGATGCTCGCGAATTAATGAAATGTACATAAATGACCTGAATAACTTGATAACGCTTTCCTAGAAGTGCATATTCATAGACAAAAGATATATGTGCACGTGTGTGTGTACATGTGCGCGCAGGTGTGTGTGTGTGTGTGTGTGCACAAATTGACGCGAAAATCTTCGAGGGAGAATGGCAGATGGTTATCTGGGTGTTGCATAAATCTTCGTTAGCTTCATTTGACCATTGACCGTGCTGCGCAAGAACGATTAATTAACCGAAACTTTCGTGATTAAAACGTGTACTTGCGATGGATGCAAAATTCTCTCACAACATACCTCTCACCAAAGTGTCGGCAGTTACATGTACAATTGATTACACGATAATGCGCAAACGTAGTAGTATTTACTAATCATAGTTCTTCTATTTTCCGACTCGAGCAAAAATAACTTTCCTCGTCGGAGAGGGAAGCTGTTAAATCTAAAAGGAAATCAATATTTGCGTTGGCAAATTTCCTCGCGTGCCCAAAGATTCATCTTTTAATAAATGCTTGTCTTTCAGCTTCCCATCTTCCTCCTCTTCATCTTTATCTTTGCCTTTGTCTTCTTCCTCTTCCTCTTCCTCTTCCTCTTCCTCTTCTTCTTCTTCATCTTCTTCTTCTTCTTCTTCTTCTTCTTCTTCTTCTTCTTCTCCTTCTCCTTCTTCTTCTTCTTCTTCTTCCTCTTCCTCTTCTCCTTCTTCTTCCTCTTCTTCTCCTTCTTCTTCCTCTTCTTCTTCTTCTTCTTCTTCTTCCTCTTCTTCTTCTTCTTCTTCCTCTTCTTTTTCTTCTTCCTCTTCTTCCTCTTCTTCTTCTTCTTCCTCTTCTTCTTCTTCTTCTTCCTCTTCTTCTTCCTATTCTTTCTCTTCTTCTTTTTCTTCTTCTTCTTCTTCTTCTTCTTCTTCTTTTTCTTTATCTTCTTCTTCTTCTTCTTCTTCTTCTTCTTCTTCTTCTTCTTCTTCTTCTTCTTCTTTATCGGAGATCATGAACAAACCTTTATGATGAATCCTCGCTATTGATCGCCATGAAAACGAAAAAGACACCGGCTTTCTTATAGGGAAACTTCAACCTAATTTTCGCGCAACTACCCTTTTCGTACGCTCGCGAAAAACGCGATTATTGTCGCAATGTCATAGTCAGTCATAACATCGAGTAAGGACAACGTCTCGATTCAATCTCATCGCGTTTGTATTTTTCTCGCCAGGTTATCGATATTCGTTATTTAGGCGTTAGAACGTTGTCATCGTCGTTGTCATCGTCGTCGTCGTCGTCGTCGCAGGACTCATCGACGTAAAACGCGTCAAAGAATTGGTATCGTGATGTTACGTGCGGCTCATCAACGCAGCGAATGACAGGAGCAACGGGGCAGTCTCCGCGACCTTCCTCAACGGCCTCAAACGTTCACGAGCGCGACACACAATGCGGACGTTATTGCGCGCATCCTTGTGTAGAGCAGAGTCGCCTGTCGTCGCGTGTAACACGAGCATGTCTCCCTGCACGCGCGCGCGAGAGAGAGAGAGAGAGAGAGAGAGAGAGAGAGAGAGAGAAAGAGAAAGTTATGTATCCTCAGTGTACATGTGCACATGGCGCGTTTCTACCTGTCCGGCCTGCGCCGCCACCCATATCATCGCCTTTCGAAGCTGCACCACACTGACCTTGTTCCAACTACCAAGAAAAGCAAGTTACGTGAAATTTTGCACCCCCCGTGCCGCCAACGCTCCGACCAGAGTCCAATGGAGTTCGTCCTGCATTATACCGACTGTTCCTAAGATGCACTGTCCGGTCTTCGCCTTATCTAACGGATGTACGCGTAATAAAATTTATAGCGATCAGCAAGTTGAAAT